AGGGCCTTTCCGTGAATCCTCAGCAATACAGGGTCATGCGAAGGGCGCAGCTTTCCCCTGCGTGTAGGCCCGCGAACATGATCCTTTTTCGTTTTTTTTTTTTTTTTTTTTTTTTTTTTTTTTGGCCGATGTTCGTCATGCAGAACCTTGAATCCCGATGAAGATTTGGAGGCCTTTTGTATCCTCAGCATCAGAGGTCATGAAGTCAGTTACCTTCTGCCTTTCAAGCTACAACTTTTTCCACTTCACTTATCACTCCAAGCACCAGTTTTCTTCTCATCCTGCTTATTTCACAGCCATTTTAACCTTTCCCTGTTAACGCTGCACATTATTGAATGTCCATTTGTCTCCACCACCTCTGTCATCTATAGACCACCTCCTTCTGCATTCCTGCTGCAATGCTTTGTGTACCTAAGTATTTCGCATTCTCCAGCTCTGCAGTCATTGGGAAGATTTTTTGTTTTTCTTTGCATTATGGCAACCGTTCAGTCTTGGGTAAACTAGAGACTAGGAGAAGTGCACATTGGTAAATATAAACATTAAATACTGCAGGCCTAGTGTGTTTTGAAAATGGAAAAAAAAAATCAAAATTGCAGTATTGGACCCATTTCAGGCTTATATAATGAAAGAAGGTTGTTCCTTGTTTAATTAAATTTTATTGATGTGTTTATCAATGTGAAAAGGGCATTCAAAATGATCATGTAAGATAGGATTTCAACTTTAAGCCCGTACGAACCCAACATTGGGGATATGATGTAATTTTGCGGAGAGGAGATAATTGAATTGAAACAGTACTTGTGCCTTCTTTTCCTGACAATTTCAGAATCACAAAACATTCTTTGTGACGTAAGCCAAGAAACAAAAACAATAAAGAGTGATTGAAAGTAAATATTTTTGGCAAGGGAGCAGACACAATAGTTCTAAAAAGACTGGAACAGAGGGCCTTAAATATGGCATAAGATTAACTTAGATCCAGTGCAATTTTATTTTTGCTTGGAAAGCTTGCCTTAATTTGTCTTACAATATGCATTCCTTGTTGAATCGTACTATTTCTTCTTCAGTATTCAGGTTTAAAAGTAAACCTATTTTGAGGATATACAGAACATATACATTTTAAACAGCTGTTTGGGGCTACGATGATTTGGATATTTTGATTTCTCAGTCCAATCGAAGCAGTTGTTTGTGATGTCTCATGCTTAGAGCCAGGTCAAGTTTTTAAATATTGAGAAATTCAGCTTTTTCCTCTAGAACAGATCGGAAAACAAAAACAAGTTCTGCAGCCTTTTCAATCTTGCACATAAAATTGGAACTGGATAAACCCTAACTCTTGAAAAAAGAGTATATTAGATGCTATTTGCAAGGGGCTTTCCTTTCCTTTACTCTTCTAATATGTATTTATTGAATAGCAAGGCATAAATTAAAAAAAATTTTAACCTGGGCAAACATGGCAAAAACCTGACTCTACAAAAAATGCAAAAAATTAGCCAGGCATGGTGGAGCACTCCTGTAGTCCTGGCTACTCTGGAGGCTGAGGTGGGAGGATCACTTGAGCCTGGGAGGTTGAGGCTGCAGTGAGCTATGATCACACCACTGCACTCCAACCTGGGCTACAGAGTGAGACCCTGTCTCAAACAAATAAATTCCTGTCATTCTAGCACAGTTTTTTGTTTTTGTTTTGTTTGTTTTGTTTTGTTTTGAGATGGAGTTTCACTCTTGTTGCCCAGGCTGGAGTGCAATGGCGTGATCTCGGCTCACTGCAACCTCTGCCTCCCGGGTTCAAGTGATTCTCCTGCCTCAGCCTCCTGAGTAGCTGGGATTATAGGCATGGGTCACCACACCCTGCCAATTTTGTATTTTTAATAGAGATGGGGTTTCTCCACGTTGGTCAGGCTGAGTCTCGAACTCCCAACCCCAGGTGATCTGCCTGCCTCAGCCTCCCAAAGTGCTGGGATTACAGGCGTGAGCCACGGCACCCGGCCTCTAGCACAGTTTTAAACCTGGGGAGCAGGGTGGGGTTCTGCCAAATGTGAGACATTTGGCAATGTATGTAAACATTTTTAGTTGTCACAGCTAGGGATATGCTACTGGCATCTAGTTGGTAGAGACCAGGGATGCTACTCCATATCCTATTATACACAGAACTGCCTCCACAACAGCTCAGAAGTCAGTAGTGCCAAGGTTGAGAAACTCTGTCTTAACACATCAATAGTTCATTTTTTTGTTCTGTGTCAGTCTTGTTCAGCTGTGTACATTTTTACATAGTTATGTACATTTTGCCTTTCTTTTTCACTTAATTTTATATTTTAAACATTTTTTACATTGCTACACTGTTTTCAACTTTTGAAAAAAGTATACTAATTTTATTTGGGAATTGAAAAACTGTGCATAATATGTATTGTATTTAAGATGTGTGTGAGTTTTAAATTATATTTGTGTGAAAGGAGTGGAAGATAGAAGAAAGAAAGGTTACAGTGAAAAGTCACCTACTGGATATTTCAGTTTTTGTGGCCGTGCTATGTACTTTGTTCCCTAGCGTCACTCAAAGACTTTGGAATCCAAAGCTCAGCCTTTGCTCAGAGGCAGATGTGCTATGGCATAAGATAGGGTCCTGGCCCCTGCAATGCAGTTGGAGAGTACCTACTAGGAGAAAAAACAACAGGTAGACAGAACCATTATCCTTGACCTCTTCTCGTTTAAAATTCTTTGTCTCAGTTTGCTTTACCACTTTATTCTTTACATTGAAAAGTTTTTTGGAGGCCTAAAACCATTTCAGGATGCACTTCTTTCCAGAGATTGGATTTTTAAGAGATTTAATGAGCATTTACTTAGTATCTACTTTGGACAGTATAGTTTTTTGGTTTTTGTTTATTGAATTTTTTTTTTTTTTTTTGAGATAGAGCCTTGCTCTGTTGCCCAGGCTGGAGTGCAGTGGCAAGATCTCGGCTCACTGCAGCCTCTGCTTTCCGGGTTCCAGCGATTCTCCTGCCTTAGCCTCCTGGGTAGCTGGGATTACAGGCACATGCCACCATGCCCGGCTAATTTTTGTTTTTTTAGTAGAGATGGGGTTTCACCATGTTGGCCAGGCTGGTCTTGAACTCCTGACCTCAGGTGATCCACCCACCTCGGCCTCCCAAAGTGCTGGGCTTACAGGCGTAAGCCACTGTGCCCAGCCAAGAATATTATTCTTATGTACTTTGTTGTGTGGGCAATTTTAGGTACAGTTTAGATATCAGAGCATTTATAATTTAGTTTTATTACTTCAAGATCTAGTTTACCAGAATTTGAAAGTTAATCATCAAGTCTCAATAAATCCACTGGGAAAATGTTTGTTTGGGGATCTCACAGCACCATTCCAGGCAGAGTGACTTGAATGTCAAAATTTGTGGAAATATAAGCAGCATGATGGGGACCAATAAGTATACTGACATCAATGGCTAATGTCAAGGCGTGGCAGAAGACAAGGCTAGAGAGACTGGGAGGAACCAGATTGCGAAGAATATCTGGTCCCAAGCTAAAGGGTTTGAACTCTACCTGAAAGCGACAAGAAGGTTAAGCAGCAAGTGATTTGCATTCGGGAGGATCAGTGTGGAGTTTTGCTGAGAACAGATTGGATGGGGGCCACCTGGCAGCAGGAACATCAGTTAAGGACGCTATTACACTAAACTGAACCAATAGTGAGGCAAGCCTAAGGCAGTAGACACGGAGAGGATGAATTAGAAAATGATGAAAGAAGTACTGCAAATTCAGTGACTGATTGCATACTAGAGTAGAATGAATAGGAAGGAGGGTCAAGGATGAATCCTGGGTTTCTGGCTTGGGAAACTGTTGACAGTGATTTTAACTATGAAATATAGGAGGAAAAGATGAATGGGTTGTTCAAGCTGAGTTGTTCACTAGACAACTGGAATGCATTGGTCTTAAACCGTAGACTCATTTTATATTGCTCTCCTAGCTTATAGCTTCTTCTCTGGAACTTGCATTTCTCTGCCAAATCTTGCTTAAAGAGTAGGCCCTCAGAGGCCATATTTGTACCCCTACTTTCAACGTTATTCCATGTACAGCTGACTGAATGGGGAAAATACAGGTAACTTTGAAGAGGCAGGCACAGCCTATTCAGTGAGCAACAAACAATTGTCTCTTTCAAAAATTTGAACTAAGAGATACAAAGATAGAAATGACTTAATCTAAAAAGTCACGTAGGCTAAGGACTTGAATAGCTGTTTTCAGCCTTGCTGATGAGCAAGCAGAGGAAGTTCACCTCTGTAGAGAAGCAAGAGGAGCACACTCACAGGGAAGCTCAGAGACAAAAGACCTCATGGGTCAGGAGAGACCGTTAATGGCTGTGTAGTTCCGTATCCAACTCCTGTGTAGCCACATTTAGTTTCCAGCACATGTCCTTGTACCTCATCCACTCAATAACCCTCATATAGTAGTTGGGATTGGCTGGTTGTGTGAGGGACAGAAAGCCCAAAATAATAATGCATTGAAAAAGAAAGAAATGTATTCCTCCCACATAAAAGAAGAAAGCAATCTATAACTGGTAGAGCAGCACCCTGAAATGGTCAGAGACCCAGGTTTCTTCTCTCCTGATAGTACAGCATCCATGGCATATGGTTTCCAGCTAATGGTGCCCAGGATGGCTGCTCA